GCCTCTTCCACTGAGACCAAACCCTGGTTGGGAAGAACGAGGCAAAGTCCATGTCTTTCAAACCAGGTACAATCAGCCCTTTTTCATGGCTCTCTTGTGCTTTTGGCATAGGGCAGCACTGACCTCTCATTCTTTTCCTTTTCCCCAGAGAGGAGGGGGTGAGAACCTCTCTTCTTGAGGATATGAAACTAGATAACGAAACAAAAGAGAGGGAGGTGCCGAGAAGCCTGAGAAGCCTTAATTAAGCCAGGGTGGGTGGAGGGCACATCTAATGGGCGCTGGGCGGGCAGCATCTTTCTGTGTGCAGGCAGAGTCGGTTGGTGGGGGCAATTAGGCCATCGGAGTTAAAATCTTCCCCTTTAGAGATAACAATTTTTGTTTATAAGTACTTGTTGTGGGATGAGCTCAAAGCACTTAATAGATGCTGGCCAATTGCCTTGTCTAGCAAATATTCTGGCAGCCAGGCAAAGAGAGAGAATTACTTCCATTTTACAGGTGGGGAGACGGAGCCACAGGAGAGTGGGGCCATGCCCTAAACCAGCTCACAGAGCTGGAAATAGAAGGTGAGCCTTCTAGTAGCACCCTCCCAGCTCCCTGCATCAGGTCTCCTCCTTCCAAATGTCCCCGAAAAAGGACAGCCACTTGCTGGTCAAAGGAAAGCAGCCATCACTCTCCAGAACTACAATTCCCATCAGACGAGAGGAGACAGGCTGTGCCCTAGTGCCAGTCCAGATTCCCAAATATGGAGACAGACTGGGCTTTGGAAGAGGAACGGAATGCATTGGGAGGGAGGGAGGGAAGGAGGGAGGGAGGATGAGGTAAGTTTGGAATATTTAACTCTCTCACCTAAATGTCTGCCCAGTCTTTAAAATGTAGCAGCCAAAGTCACCATCTTTTAATACATTTTTCTCACTTTTCAAATTGAGCAGCTAGTTCAGATAAACATGGTTTTCTCCTAGGATAGGTGAGTGATGGGGCAGTTGTGGTTCTAGGAGGTCTGACACCCCTTTCCTGAATCTGCACAGCTCTGACAGTGAAACAGCAGGTGCAGACACTCAGGTGGCTGAACGGCAGGCCCAGCAGCCCGGGAGGACCAAGGTTACTCTGTTTCTGCCTTGGAACCCACTGAGCTCTCCTGGTGGGGAAGGCATGGAAGAATGGTTTCCACCAGTCCTGTCTTCATTCTTCATCGTTTTACCGTCAGTTAAAGCAAAGTCGGAGGCACGGGGGCTAGATAATCAGGGGATGCAAAGTGTGAAACCAGATCTCTGCCCACAAAAGCTAAGCTCTGGGGGGCCAGCAGGTGGCATGATGGTTAAGGCACTGGACGCTCCCACATGACCAACCGCATTTTGAGTCCCAGACCTGCTGGCTTGCTTTCTCACTTGCCTTCTCTTGCTCTCTCTCTTTCTTGAGCACGCATGCCTTATAGCAAAAAAATAATAATAGTAATAATAAATAGAATTAAGTAAATAATTCTTTTAAAAAAAAAAGCTGATCTCTGGGAGAGAGGGTGGAGGGAGGAACAAGACAGACATGCAAGGCGATATATAATGTGTGCTTTTTTTTTGAGCCATGGGGCATGTGCTCTCGCTAGAGAGAGACAGACAGAGACAGTGAGAAGGAAACTGAGAAATTACCCCCTGGAGGGATGGCCACACCTCAATCCCTTCTCCTCCATTCTCCTCCTGGGATATTGGACATGCACGCACACGCACGTGACATGATTTTCAAGCTGCCGTGTCCGAGACTCAAACCATGATTGGCCCATGTGGTAGTCCAGCACCTTAACCACTACTCCACCTGCTGGCCCAAATATATGCTTTTTTTTTTTCATTGCTAGAGGGCACATGTGTTCACCAGAAAGAGAGAAGCAAAAACACCCGCCAGTGGACATGGTCTCACTGTAGTCCGTCTTCTCCTTTGCTCACCTTGTCAGGTTTGGGGATGCACACTCATACCTGCCATGTTTTTCAAGCTGTTGGGGCCAGGATTCCAGTCACAGTAAGCCATATGGGATCTGGTCTCCCCAGCCACTAGGCCACAGGGCCAGTCCTACATACTTTTTATTCTATAGGTACCAGGCACTGTTCTAACCACTGGAAATACAACGATGAATGTGTCCAAAGGAAAAGCTTCTGCCCTTACTGACTACTTTCCGGTAGTCCCTGAAGTCTGGGAACAGCCTGAAAGTGCAGAGCTCTGAGATAAATATGAGCTCAGTGAGTTTGAAAGCAGAAGGCAGACATAGCTGCAGGGAGTGGATGAGGCCAGCGTTGGAGAAGATAAAGTCAGAGAGCAGGCAGGGGGCAGATCCCACAGGGCCTTATAAGGACAGAAACACGAGCCCATTCCAACTGCTTTCAAGCAGTGGCTTCCTGTGATCTGTGCCAGATGATGGAAACAGACTTCGGGAGAGCTCAGCGACTAGAGAGGGGTCACTGCGCTGGGAGGGCAAGGAAGCCCACAGGGTGGCTGCCCACAGAGCGTGGACGCTGCAGTGAGGGCTTGCGCTGGAGAGCGGGCCCTGCAGTGGGGCTGCTTCGCGAGCGAGGTATGGAGTCGGGGCACACGCATGTTCAGGGCCTCGAGCTGTGGACAGTGCAGCCGAAGATCGAGAACTGGGAGGACTTTGGGGGTCCCTGTGTCACCAGGCTCTTTTATCTCAGGTGAACAGTAGCAGCAGACTTGAGTACACGAAGGCATTTCTCACAGACTTAAATGTCCAGTCTGAGAACCTGCTCTCCACCGGGAGGCCAACATTTTCCCCTAAGAGATGCGTTCCTTGAAGGCTTTTGAGCCCTCACATTGAAACCAAGGTGACTACTGTAGTTTCAATATATCTACCCTAAATTCATGTGTTGAGCTGTTGTAATGGGATAAGAGGGTTAAAACTTGATCCAACTGAGGCGGCATAGTGGTTAAGGCCCTGGATCTCACATGGTTAACTGCATGGTTCGAGTCCCAGACCCAGTAGCTTGAAAAACACACTGGGCACATGTGCATGGGTGCCCAAAATCCTGAGAGGAGAAGGGATTGTGGCATGGCCATCTCCTTTAGGGGTGATTTTTCACTTTCTCTATCTCTCTCTCATGCCCTATCACAAAATCTCAAACAAAAACCTGATCCAATTATTACATTAAAGGTAGAGCCTTTCAAAAGAGACGGGTAATTGGGCAGGTTGGATGGTGGTGGTGGTGGTGGTGGGGGGGGTCCCATGCTTGAGTTCTGATGGGTTTATAGGGAGTGGGAATGAGACCAGAGTAGGAGGCACACATGGAACATGCCCTGCCCGCGTGTGCCACTCCCTTCTTCTGCCAACCAGGTAGTAACTAGCCAGCCTGACATGGACTTGGACTTTCCAGCCACCAAAATCCTGAGTCAAATAAACCTTCCTTCCTTATAAACCACCCCGTCTCGGGTATTCCTGAAAGCAACACCATAGCAATGAACGCA